GCTCGGCCGGATCACTCTGTTGAGTGACACCGCTGTGGCCTCGGAGGAGCTGTCGTCCGGCCTGCGCGGCGGGAAGCGGCGGCGGCCTCAACGTCCGAAGAGGTAGCCTGGGCCCAAGACCTTTAAGGGCAACGGGAGGGGTGAAGAGGGCACCTTCAACCCGGTGCGCGTTGGGGAGCAGACCCGGGCGGGAACCCGACCCCTGCCCGGCCCCTCGGGCTGTGGCCGAGGTCCACCTGCGAGGATCCGGACTGGCCCGCCCCACCACCGCCGCGGCCGAAAGAGGTCACCTCCGCCCCTCTCTGTCGGGCCGGTGTCCTTGCACATCTGCCTTTGGGACTGTGTTGTAGCTTTCTGCTCAGTAACTCTGCACCCTCTGCTCTTCCCTTCCTCGGAAGCCTGCCGAGGAGGGGTCTGGGCGCCCCCGCTATCGGAGTTGTCTTGGGCAACATCTTAACTTCTCCCGAGGGATTAGCAGCTCGTTCCCTATCGCCCTATTTGGGAAGTGGCACCAGACCTCCCTCCAGGGAGGCCTTTCTGGGCTGTGAGATTCTGGAGAAAGGGCGGCCCACACCTCGTCTAGAGAAAAGCCTCGTAGCGTGGTCGTCTGTGTTGCCTGCACTTTGATATGGGAGGGTTGCGGGAGACAGCTCTTTCTTTGTCCATCCATCCCCGGCTTTGCACTGGAGAGGCGAAGGCACCTACTGTACTGAGACCGGGACGCTCCTTAGGTGAGGGCCTTCAGTCGGAGATGGGTCACAACCGACCCCGTGGGCTAAGATGATTGACGTGTGGACATAGGAACTTGATTGTGCCTCAGCATCTCCCCACCTTCGTGGTGTAAGAACGTGAGCACGTTTGCAGTCCATCTTGAATTATACTTTCCCAAAATCAATCCCTTTACAAGCAGCTTTGAAAGAGTGTTTCGCTGGCCTGCCGACTGGTCAGTAAGGGCAGTTATGTTAATGACAGACTTCGCTTTGGGGAAGGCAACATTCGCAGCGTGTACTTCCGTTACAGCCCTGTCACTTCTAAAATGTGGGCGTTATAACCTTTGGACCCAAGAATGAATGAGGCCTGTTTTTAACATAAATAATTTTAGGGAAAAAAATTTTTTTTAATTTTCTTATTAGATTAAATGCTTCTTCCTATGTGTTTACACAAACTCCACCAAGGATTGATGGTGTGCATGAGATATATAGAGCTCACGTTTTGTAGTTTTTATAAAGCTCAACTGGAAGGCATGTAAATTCAGTTGAGAATAGAAGAACTCTTGAAAATAGTAATAATGGAGAGAGTAAATGGACCACCAGGTAAAAATGTTTTGAAAGTTACTGCTGGTGTTATTTTTCCCATTATTACATGTATAATATCTGTTTTTCTGGAAATTGAATTAAAATTAAAGTAGCTGATATTTTAGTACCTTCTGCGTGACAGCCAGATTAAGTGCTTTACACATTTGAACTCATTCGATTCTTACATAATCCAGTGGGATAGTTATGATTATTTTTGTGTTAGAGATGAAGGTTAAATAACTTGGCCAAGGTTGTGCATTGGGAATTAGTGGAACTAGGATTTGGACCTAGGCGGTCTAGCTCCAAAGACCAGACTATGCTAATAATGAAACAGTGCCTGCTTAGAAAGCCAAACTCAGAACTAGAAATTGGCTGACAAACAGTAGATGTTCAGAAAATATTTTGATAATTCTTAATGCTTGATGTTTAATGTTCAGAGAAAAAAATAGTTGTATAAGATCCCCCAAGACAGGATCATCATTTTGTTCAGGGATTTAACCTGAATGTCTTTAATAGTGCCTGCCTCATAGTGGTGCTTGCTAATTGAATGAATGAATTGCCAAGAAAGGTCTTTAAAAAGCAACTTGTTATAAAAGTTCAGACGAATTACTTCAACCCGTTTTAAGATTGCTTTATGTGCTGTTTTGATTATTTGGCCCACTATTCACCCACTCACACCACCTGGTTTAGATTTCTCCTGGTTTGAATTATATTTTATCAGTGAAAGAAATGAAGTAGCAACTTGTAAATTTTCTGGTCAGAGTAAAGGCAAGCAACTGATTTAGTAGTTACCATTCCGTTTTTTAAGTCATTGGTTCTCAAAGTTAGAACACTCTGACTTGCAATTTTAAAGTGTAATTTCTGGTGTAGAGTCGAAGATCACTTTTTTTTTTAATCCTCACCGGAGGATATTTTTTTCCCATTGATTTTTAGAGAGAGAGGAAGGGAGGAGTAAAGAGAGAAAAAGAGAAACATTGATGTGAGAAAGACACATTGATTGGTTGCCTCCTGCACATGATCCAACCAGGCCCAAGATAAAACCTGCAACCTAGGTCCATGCCTTGACAGGGAAATCGAACCCACGCCCCTTCCATCAGCACTCTAACACTCTAACCACTGAGCAACCTACCAGAGCGGAGATCGCATTTTTGAAATATAAACACAGTTTTTAAAATGTAGATACAATGTTGTAGCTTCCTAAGAATGATATTCTTGGAGGTAAGAAAGAAAGGTGGTTTATGGAAGGTTTGTTTCTCTAAAAAAGTCTTGGAGGAAGGACTGTCCCTCCAGTCCACTCACAAAGTGCCCTTACTAAAATTTTACTGCCTTTTGGATCACATAAGATAGTCTTGTTTAAAAGGTTTAAAAGCTGAAAGTAAGATTGGTTGAGAAATCTCTAAGTTTATTATGTTTAGAGATTCATTTTACATGTTAACTAGGCTATAGTACCTAGTTATTTAATCAAACACTAATCTAAGTGTTATTGTGGTGGTATTTTGAAGATGTGATTAACATCTAAAATCAATGGACTTTAACTAAAAGAGATTACCCTCAATAATGTGGGTGGATCTTATCAAATCAATTGAAGGCCTTAATTTCAAACTGAAGTATCTCAAGAAGAAAAAATTCTTAAGATTGCAGTATTGCCTGGCCAGCGGGGCTCCTAGGTTGAATGTCGACCTAGGAACCAGGAGGTCACAGGTTCAATTCCTGGTCAGGGCACATGCCTGTGATTCGGGCTCAGTCCCCAGTAGGGGGCATGCAGGAGGCAGCCAATCAATGATTCTCTCTCATCATTGATGTTTCTATCTCTCTCCCTCTCCCCTCCTCTATGAAATCAATAAAAATATATTTTGAAAAAAAGGTTCTATTATTTTTTGTTAACGATCACTCATTTATTTCAGCCCTTTGTATTCAACATGTCTCTATCGAAATAAACCTACGTTTCTAGCCCTAACCGGTTTGGCTCAGTGGATAGAGCGTTGGCCTGCGGACTGAAGGGTCCCAGGTTCGATTCCAGTCCAGGGCATGTACCTTGGTTGTGGGCACATCCCCAGTAGGGAGTGTGCAGGAGGCAACTGATCGATGTTTCTCTCTCATTGATGTTTCTAACTCTATCCCTCTCCCCTCCTCTCTGTAAAAAATCAGTTAAACAGATATTTTAAAAAAACAAAAACCTATGTTTCTATGAAAATTGAAGCTTTTGTTTTTTTGCGGCCCACATAAACTTAAACCTTGTTTATTTGGCCCGTGTTAGCCTTTGAGTTTGACATACTTACTCTAGAGGAACAGAATCTTAAGACTGAGTTATCACATTGACCAGTGTAGCTCAGTTGGTTGAGTATCCTCCCATGCACTGAAAGGTCACAGGTTCAATTCCAGGTCAGGACACATGCCCAGGTTTTGAGTTCAATCCCTTGTTGGGTGCCTACGAGAGGCATCCAATCTGTTTCTTTCTCATATCAATGTTTCTCTCCCTCTCTCTTCCTCTTTCTCTCAAATCAATAAAAACATTAAAAAAGAATGAGTTATCTGAATTGGTTATGGTGTTCTGTAATTGGTTCCCAAATCTGATTAGATTTAAAGGCAGTAATGGCTACCAGTGGTAAAGGGCACTGGTAGTCCAAGGTCTGAGGGGGCAATAGAGATACACAGAATATCACCATTGGATACTCCTACTTAAATATTTACAAAAGACAGAGTTCTGTTTTTTTGTTGTTGATAATCCTCACTCCAGGGTATTTTTCCATTGAATTTTAGAGAGAGTGGAAGGGAGGGTGAGGGACACAGAGAGAAACATCGATATGAGAGAGACACACATCAACTAGTTGCCTTCTGCATGAGGGATTGAGCCTGCAACCAGGGTTCGTCCGTGCTCTTGACTGGGAATCAAACCCCCCGGGACCCTTCAGTCCGAGGGCCAATGCTCTATCCACTGAGCAAAAATGGCCAGGGCAAAGACAGGGTTCTGGATGACATTTTTGCCAACAAGTCTAATGAGACTGACTGGTTGCTTCTAACTGTGTTGGGAAAAGTTGGGGGGGGGCGGGGGGAGTGGAAGGATGAGCTCAAGTCTTCAAGTTCCCAGCTCAGGTTCTGCATAATTGACCTGAAAGTTTCTGTGTCCTCTCTAAAGAAACCTTTCCCCCTGCCCCCCCACTGTTACAGAGCTGAGATTGCTGAAAACCAAACCCAGAGCCTCATCCTGCAAAGTGGCTGAATTATAATGCAAAATGAATTCTCAGTCGACAGTGTGTCTGCTGTTAAAATGAGGGCATTGATTGGGAAGGAATAAGATCCTCAAATTTGGAATAGGGTACTGAGCCCCTAAATTTTGATCAGTCTTTTTTGCCACCTGTTTGAGGAAGTTAACATGCTTTGACTGAAGAACCTGTAATGGCCTTTCCTGAGGTAATTGCCTTGCAAGATATTGCTGATTCTCAATAACTGCTTCTAGACCAGTGATGGCGAACCTTTTGAGCTCGGCGTGTCAGCATTTTGAAAAACCCTAACTTAACTCTGGTGCCGTGTCACATAGAGAAATTTTTTGATATTTGCAACCATAGTAAAACAAAGACTTATATTTTTGATGTTTATTTTATATATTTAAATGCCATTTAAGAAAAATCAACCAAAAAATGAGTTCGCATGTCACCTCTGACACGCGTGTCATAGGTTCACCATCACTGTTCTAGACCTATAACTCGACTTCAGTCTCAGCAGGCCTCCATGAGTCAACTGCAAAGTGTGACCCATGAAGAGGTGTGCTGCACTCTTAAAAACTGATTTTAAAAAAATGCCACAGATAGATCTCTGGGGAATATGTGTGAGGATGGATATCAAAAGTGTGGAATACTTGTGAAAGAAACATAAAGTTAGATCAGGCTGAATTTATTGATAGAGGAGCACTAAGCAGAGATTTTGTATTCACTGTTATAGCTTCGGGGGTTAGAAAGGGCTCTAACAGTTTGGGTGTTTGGCTGAAACATGGACCAAAGGTGACCTATGCTAAATAAAGTTAAAATGCCAGACCTGCCTTGGTATACTATAAAGGAAAGGATCTAAGGGAGACTGGGATGATAGAGTGGATTTACCATGTAAGACCTGTTCACTCACCTTTGGAGGTGATTTCACATGATTTTGAGAAGTAAATTTGTGAGAGACGCCCCAGCATCCTTGGTGATCTGTGAAGAGTTCTGATTGCTCTTCTCTGTGGGTCAGGAATTATAGCAGGGACTGCTTCTACTGATCTGGGGATCCTAGAATGTAGTGAGGACAATTGGAAATTGAGCAGATATTACAAAGGAACCCATCGCTTAATGATATATCAATATACTGAAGGAAAAGAACTCAGAGCAGAGGGCAGTTGAAGTACAGGAACAAGAATAGCAGTAAATATATATATATGGAAAATGTGGTTGAGCAGAGTCTAAAACAGGAAGAAGTTAGCTTAAAATACAAGTGGAGGACTAGCCTTTGAATGTAGGGACAGTTTTATTTTCTGAGGAAGAAGTTAATGGATTCTTGGATGGGTGTGGATGCAGGTAACTCGGGGAGGGGGAAGGCTAAAGGTGAGAAAATTCACCCCTCATAACTTTGGTTTATTTTTAACAGGAAGAGGGGGTTGGCTTTATCAAATTATTTATTAAACATTTATTGAGTGCCTCCTATGTGCCACCCAGCCTTTGTTTTAGGGGCCTGGGATGCAGCAGTGAACAAAACAGGAAAAACAAAACTCTGTCCTTGTGGGACCATTAGTAGTAAACACAATAAATAAGTAAATTATAAAGGATGTTAGAAGATGAGTGCTATGAAAAAAGAAACAAATAGAGCAAGGTAAGGACGATAGGGATGGATGTCAGGGCTGGAAGGGAGGGGATTGGGAGCAGTGTTGCAATTTTAAATAGAATGGCCAAAGGAGGCATCAGAGAGCTGGTGCCATTGAACAAAGACTTGTGGGAAGCAAATTAGCCATGCTAACTTGAAAAAACTTCCTAGCAGAGGAAATATCTAGTGCATAATTCTTTTTTTAAAAATTCATTCTTTTTTTTTATTATTGATTTCAGAGAGGAAGGGAGAGGGAGAGAGAGATAGAAACATCAATGATGAGAAAGAATCATTGATTGGTTGCCTCCTGCAAGCAACCCCAGGCATGTGCCCTTGACCAGAATCGAACCTGGGACCCTTCAGTCCGCAGGCTGACGCTCTATCCACTGAGCCAAACCGGTTAGGGCTAGTGCATAATTCTTAAGGCAGGAGTCCTTTTAGCATGTTGGAGGAGCTTTTTAGCATGTTTGGCTTTCAGAATTAATTCAGTTTTGTAAAAATAATTAAGGGCTTAATCTTTCTGCATGGCCTTTCTTACTCATTTAATATTCTTTATTTGAAGCACCTTTCTTTATTTGAAGCACCTGTAGCTTGTCATGTTGGTTGTTAAATGGTCTGATTCTTCAGACTGTTATTTGACTTTCCTTTTGTCTGTAGCAATTTCTAGTATCACCTTTAAAGACTTCCTGGGAGCCTGCTAATTTTGAGATATTTACAATTTCATTTTGCGACTCATTTGCATTGTGTTGTTGGGTGATCTGTGAGAGCCTGATAGGAGCTGATGTTAATTATTAATTAGGGAGGGATGAGTCAGGGTACTAATTTTATAGGGAACAATTCATTAGTGGATGATTTTATTTGATAATAGTTTGCACTGAGATAACAAATATTCGTGTAAAATGTAGTAGAGTAGCTGTATTTATTGGAGTGCTGATTTATTCGGGTGCTAACTCAAGTCTCGTTGACTCTTGTTTAGTATACAATTTAAAAAAGTAAGATCATCTATTCTCAATGTATTATCAGAAGTAGTAAGTTAACAAGTATGGGGTGGGGTGGAGATAAGGGGTCAGTGGCACTTCCTGATGCCAAGAGAGGGGAACTGATTTGCTATATAGTAATACACACTAAAATTCTATCATACCAGTGGGGAAACCTATCTCTAGAGAGGCCAACTAATTTTCTCAAAATAATACCACTATTAACTCTGTTGGGTACATTTTATTCCAAAGCCCATGTTCTTTTAAAATTACATTTTAACTTTACTGACAAAAAAGTTATAGATATCTGGAAAAGTCCATCTCTCTTCTCACCAGCCAATAACATGTGATTTACAGTTTTATATAATTTAGTCTAAAGCAGTGGTTCTCAACCTTCTGGCCCTTTAAATACAGTTCCTCATGTTGTGACCCAACCATAAAATTATTTTCGTTGCTACTTCATAACTGTAATGTTGCTACTGTTATGAATCGTAATGTAAATATCTGATATGCAGGATGGTCTTATGCGACCCCTGTGAAAGGGTCGTTCAACCGCCAAAGGGGTCGCGACCCACAGGTTGAGAACCGCTGGTCTAAAGGTATTATAGGATAAATGATACTGATAACTACTCATCAGACCGTAATAACTAACACTTATATGATGCTTGTTAATTTACAAAAGCATGTTTGCATCAGAAATTTCATAGAATTCCTATAACAGCCTGTGAAATAATCATTTTACTAGGGGACGTGGGCTTGGTGTCTAAAAGGGAATTGCATGGAATTATGTCCCCATGACGTTAGGGCCCAGATCTTTTGCTTCCAGATCTTAAGACTTCTTTCCATTATACTATACTGCTTCTTTGTAGAATAATAGAGCCCTACAAATATCCATTTTGTAGTAATAAAATCACTTCAAAACATAACCCTCCATGATGTCTGCTAGACTCATTTACTCTATCATATTTAAATGATGTATTTTAATGAGATTTTAAAATTGCATTATGTTACAACTGTATACCGTAACATTAATTTTGTGGATTTGGTAGCAATGTCTTTTCTTTTACTTCCTAATAATTAATGACTCATTTTTAAATAGATTAGTTTAAAATGGGAATCTATATAATCTAATTTTTAAATCTATTCTCTATAGAAGCTGAATCCATCCATCACCATTCTTCAAAATGCAATGGAATGTACCAAGGACTGTATTCCAACTGGCACATAGGACATGCATGGACCCACATAAAGCTGGTCTTTTTGGACACTGTCAATATATAAAGGGACCATTACTTTTGTATACAGCTGAATCCAGAGTAGTTTTGGTACAGGTTCCTCTAAAACAATGGCTGCATTTATCTGCTGCACAGTGCACTGCAAAGGAAAGGAAGCCATTCGATGCTCCTTCACCCCAACTGAGGGTTCTTCATTATAAACAGTGGGAGCAAGATGCTTCCTCTAAGAGGGTTATGTCATCCAATGCCACATCTCCAGGAACGCCTTCAGAAAAAAAAGAAGAACCTGATCCGTTACAAGACAAATCTATTAGCCTTTATCAACGATTTAAGAGAACTTTTAGACAGTATGGAAAAGTGTTGATTCCAGTGCATCTAATAACTTCTGGTGTTTGGTTTGGAACATTTTATTATGCAGCCATAAAGTAAGTTTTTGCTTGGTTGAGCATCTTTCCCTGTTTTATCAAAATATTTAATCTTTTAAAAAAAATTATTGTTGGAAATATTACAGATGTCCCCTTTTTTTCCCCTTTAACCCCCTCCACCCTGCCCTCCCCCACCCCGGGCCTTCACCACACTGTTTTCTGTGTCCGTTGGTATAAATATCCTATATAATAAAAGGGTAATATGGAAATCAACCGAACGGCTGAGCGACCGGTCGCTATGACGCACACTGACCACCAGGGACAGATGCTCAATGCAGGAGCTGCCCCCTGGTGGTCAATGCGCTCCCATAGGGGGAGCGCCTCTCAGCCAGAAGCCGGGCTCATGGCTGGCAAGTGCAATGGCAGTGGCAGGAGCCTTTCCTGCCTCTGCGGCAGCGCTAAGGATGTCCGACTGACGGCTTAGGCCCGCTCCCCACACTCCCTGGGCCTAAGCTGGCAGTCAGACAACCCCCGAGGGCTCCCAGACTGTGAGAGGGCACAGGCCGGGCTGAGGGAACACCCCCACGCACACATACCCCCAGTGCACGGATTTCATACACCGGGCCTCTAGTATGCATATAAAGTCTCTGGTTAATCTCTCCCCACCTACCCCCCTACCCCTGCCTTCCCTCTGAGAATCCTCAGTCTGTTAATCTTAAGTGTACTAGTTTTGAAAGCCTTAAATAGTTTTTTAAATGCTTTAATGTCTTTAATTGATAGAGAATGACTACTTTTCATAACCTTGTCACATTTTGATAATAATTAACATTTGCTTACTGTGTACATCAGGCATTGCTAAATTTTTTAACTGTATTATCTCATTTAATCCTCACAGCAATCATATGAAGCAGGTAGTGCAATTATTCCCATCTTAATAATGAGAAAACAGATTTTAATAATAAGCCAAATTAACTTAGTTTTTCCTAGAAAAACTGAGAGTCTGATGTCAAAGCTCATGCTCTTAGTCACTGTGTTCACCTCCTAGCAACATTTAGGGTAGCACAGAGATAAATCATATTTCAGAAATTTAGCTGCACCAGAAATTTTGTATTTATATATTTCTTAAAGTGTTCATAAATGTAAAAAGACATTATTTTTCCATGTGTATGATTTTAGTGGAAAATTCATAAGATATTTTTGCAAAATTCTGGCTAATACCTGATATAGACACAAACTTGAGCAAATTGCAGACTTATGTATTAACGTTACTCATATCTGATAAATGTCAATGCATATCTTTTATTCTTATCAGAAGTTAATTTCATGTACATTTAAAATTTTGTTAAGAGGATAGATCTCATGTTAAGTGTTCTTACCTCAATAAAATAAACTTTTTCAAAAAACTTAATTTAGTAGGCCTAGCCTGCCAATATTGTAAAACCTAGAATTTCTAAATGTTCCTTTCTTGTTAAATACTGTTCCTTTCTTTTGGAGCAAGAATACACATAGAAACAGCTTCCCAATAATTTCCAGTTTGTTTCTGCCTCTAGCACAGCGGTTCTCAACCTGTGGGTCGCGACCCATTTGGGGGTCGAACGACCCTTTCACAGGGGTCACCTAAGACCATCGGAAAACACATATATAATTACATATTGTTTTTGTGATTAATCACTATGCTTTCATTATGTTCAATTTGTAACAATGAAATTGGGGGTCACCACAACATGAGGAACTGTATTAAAGGGTCGTGGCATTAGGAAGGTTGAGAACCACTGCTCTAGCACAGTGGTTCCCAAACTTATTTGGCCTACCGCCCCCTTTCCAGAAAAAATATTACTCAGCGCCCCCTGGAAATTAATTTTTTTTTAAATTTTAATAGCAATTAAACAGAAAGATATATGTATTAATGTTTCTACCTTTTTCGTAAAATATAGTAAAGAAAGGTGTAAATTAGAAACATTGAAGTTTGAAATTATGAAACTATTTATTGAACTCAGAATAGAAAGGTAATACAAAAAAAGTTAAAACAAATGCACCTGTGCCCATTACCGCACCCCCTGGATCGCTGCAGCGCCCACCAGGGGGCGGTAGCGCCCACTTTGGGAATCACTGCTCTAGCAGAACCCAGTAGGTACCAACCTGTCCCTGTTCCTTCGAACAAGAAAAGTACTGGTCTGGTCCTGAGCAAGCCCAGTGAGCTCATTGTCCTGAAGGCAATGATGACAGCACATTAATGGCTTTTTACATCTTAAATTTCCTTTTTTGAGCCATTGAGGATTTTTCTAATTCAGTGCTGTGGAAGATAACATGAGTAATACTTGTTTCTTCTGCCTTCCTTGGGTTGCCCTTAATAAGCATTCAGTCTCCTGGCGTTAGAGGCAGAAATCTAAATTTCTAATTAATTGAATACGATCATCTCATTTGGACTATTAAAAAGAGTACTTTTGTTTCCTTTACTTTTCCTTCTTGAGTTAAAGATTTCTATAACTAAAAAATCGGACCCCAAATAACCTAGTGATAATAGTTATTCTTAAGGGTTTTTTTCATTGCTATCTGGCACCTGAGGCAGTTGTGACATTCTGCCATCCCCTGTGGAATGCACCTCTCTCAGTTTTATCCTTCCCCCTCTTTTCTGCAGAATGTTTGTGTGTAAGCATGGTGACAAGACAGTCTACTTTAAAAATCACACCTCATTCCCCATCAGAACTTGTCTGTTGGCTATTTGCCAGCATGCGAAATCTGTGTGCCAGACCCACCACTGCTGCCCAGCTATGACTACTGGTCCAATTCTGTTATAGCATCTCATAGCTAAAAATTTGTATTTTGTAGGGTTTGTTGCTTCCCAGCATAGTCCTTAATGTTTTTACTGAATCTGTAATACTGCAGGAGTTGAAAATTGATTTGTTCTAGTAAGATCTGATTGCAAGTAATACTTTAAAAATATAAGGACTTAAGATATGTTCAAATGGCAATTTATCTTTCATTGTGAGATGATTTTATTATAAAACTAGAGGTCCAGTACATGGATTCGTGCACGGTGGGGTCCCTTGGCCTGGCTGGTGATCGGGGCCGTGGGAAATTGACCGGCCCAGGAGATTGGCTGTGGGAGCCACCAGGGGGCAACTCCTGCATTGAGTGTCTTCCCTCTGGTGGTTAGTGCCTGTCATAGCGACAGGTCGACTGGTCGTTCAGTTGCTTAGGCTTTTATATATATCGATTGGAGTTGATTGTATTAAATACAGGTGATTTGTTTTTTAATTTAACTGACAAGAAGCTGGCTTTATTTTATTTTAGTTTTAGCTTGTTGCCTGCTTACTATTAAAAGAAAGAAGAAAAAATAATTTGTAACTTGAAGGATGGGCATTAGAAGTCACATTGCATTACTGACCAATGTTTGTTTTAGTCACTCCGACAACCAGCATGCTGCCTTGCTAGTCACCATAAAGCAAAATGCCATTCTTTATTTAGTTAAGTCAGTGATCAAGACCTCAGGCTTTTGAAACATTTTATTTCAGGGAGATCTAAATTGTGCATGGTAATGGATTTTATTTTAAACTAAACTGTTGTCCCTATCTGGCAAAAACTTGCAGATATATTATGTCTTCTAACCAGAAGTCTTCTGATTGGTCAAATGTAGCTCTGTGATGATGGTTTTGTCCTTATGTTTAGATGCCTCATGTTTTGGGCCTCAGGGTCCTAAAGCTACAGATTCACTCTGAGGCAAAATCCTGACTGATTTTTACTGCACTTTATTCAGACTGTGAATGTGCCTTTGCCCTTGTGTGTTTCTGCGCCACTAGGAACATCCATAAAGCTGGCAGTTTGTGAAGCAGAGATTTTTGTCAGGCTGTGGGAAGTTCAGAGTAAAAAGTTTCGAAAATGGATATGATTTGAATCAAACCTTCATTGATACTTCATACTTAGCAATTCCAAAGAAAATAAAAGTTTTTTTTATAAAGTCAAGTCATCAAATCAGTATTGTAGAAATAAGTGGAACCAGGTGCTTGTTTTTGTATTTTACAAAGGGTACATATGTAAGGTGTCTGAGGTTATTATTGTGGTGGTTTTTATTTTTTTTAATCACCCCATTTTGTCTTATATTTGGCCAAATGTTTGTCTTTTTCCCCCTTTATGATTGCTGTTAAATATGTAGATTTTACATTCTGGGCTTAGTCTGAACTAGAAAATGATTAATGGAGTAATTTTATAATTTTATTGGCACTGGAAGGTAATTAGCATGTTATGGTAGGATGTTACTGTACATTGTGACTATTAGAGCCATAGAATAGTCTTTATGATACTAAGTCCTGCTTTAATACGATTCTGTCTAAGAAAGAGGTTTTTAAAAGAACTGATGGTAGAGATAGAAGAAACCAGATTGGATTTGTAATTGACATCTTCCTTAAACTCTTCAAAGATTTCTTCAGTTATCTGGTTTTCTTTTGTAGATGATAGGTAATTTTTCTTGATGATGTTCAGCCATATCTATTGAGTAATCCCTGGTTTCTTAGTATTATAATGAAATCATAGAGAGGGACAACTTTTCCCCAGTTACCAAGTTATTTTTTAATATTAAAAATAAATTAGGATTTTGCAACTACCATAATAATAATGAATCCAGGCAATTTTTTTCTGAATTACAAAGAGAAAGAGTATGTGTACTGTGGAACAATCTCTGGACCCTACCTTAACCCTACCTCAAATTTAACATCGGTGATGGAACAAACTACCATTATGTGCCCCCTGTTGACGCACCGAAATGAACTGTGCAGAATTAACTGTGCAGTTTTCCTTTTGAAAAACATTTAACCAGAATCTAATCATGAGGAAACAATCAGACAAATCCAAATTGAGGGATAGTCTACCATGCAACTGGACTGAAAGCTTAAAATCTCCGTGTCAAGAAAGACATGCTGCCTTCCTCCTTGACAGAAAGTCCTGGGAATCATTTCTAGAGAAAATGAGACTAGAGAGACATGACAGGATAGCATTAAGGGACATACTAGACCAATTCAGGAAATTTTATGTTAATGTAGGAGAATCACAGAACAAGAGCCTTGTTCTGATTTAGAGGTGAAGGGTCTCAATATCTGCCAATGCGTGCATGTGCCAATGTAATAAAATATTGATAATCAGAAAAACTACAAATAAATTAGGGCTTAACAGCTCAGATTAGAGACATTCTCTGCCTTCTCTCCCTCCCTCCAAAAATGTGTTGCAATTTATGGTAATTGTTCATCTGCCTATTCACTTCTGATAATAGTGTAGAAGCACCCTTTTAGAATAATTGAAGTTTTCATCAAATAATTTATTCAAATCATTAGAATCATTTATTCTTTGCATAGTAGTACAGTAAGTAATGTTATATAACTTGCTTTTACAATAATATTATAGTTTGGCATGTAATACTAGAGGTAAAAAATCTTAGGTCCTGAAGTTTGAGTTGGAGCATTCTAACTAACGAAGTGATATTTAGTTGAGAAAACTAAGATCAGGTAAGTGATTCTGACCCTTTTCTCCTGGGTTACATAAAGTTATTAATTTTGCTTTGATAAATGCTTCTATTTTTTTGAATATGTTAAATGCAGAAGTTGCACACAGTAAGCTATAATACAACACTGGTGTTTGTGTACATATTGTTCGTTTAGAGTGAAATTAAAGTGCTTGATAATATAGAGCTGATGTTTAAACAAAATTTGGTTTTGGTGTTTTCAGATAATCTTTTGAAACTGTTTATCCCTAAAATGTGTATGTGTGTGTGTATGTATATATATATATAAATTACTTTTTGTTTCTTTCTTAGAGGAGTGAATGTCATTCCTTTTCTAGAGCTTATTGGGTTACCTGACAGCATAGTAAACATTTTGAAAAATTCCCAGAGTGGAAATGCCCTAACAGCATATGCCTTGTTTAAGGTAAGTACTATTAGAAATTAATTACTCCTCACACTTAACCGATGACCTGCTCAGTTCCCCAGAAAACTCAATGTTAGCACCTAATAGTTCTTTTTTGAAAATACTGCATTTCATCTCTTACATGTCCAATAAAATTTTAAAAAATTTAAGTGTAAATAAAATGATGGTTTAGGAAGATGCCTTGAAAATAGGTAGATCATTCATAATCTGCTGTGATCACGTGAAACTTCTGAATTTCTAGGGTACAAGTCATTTTTTTTGACATTTTTCCTATACATAGTATATTAATTTTTCTTATTCAGAGATCTGCATGCCACCTGACTTGTAAGTGAAATTTAGCATTTATTTTACTGTTTATAAATAGTTCATTTCTTAATAAGTAAAATATAAAGTTTAATGCAAGTTGTTTTATATGATAAACCTAATTAGACTTAGTTGTTAGATGTTGTGTATGTTTTATTTTAGAAGTTCATAGACTTTATAACTTTTCTGGATTTAGACAGTGACATCTTTATAACTATTTCTACACCTGTGGGTCTTTTTTTCAGAAGAAGAGACTCATTGTGGAATTAAGCCATATTAATCTTTTTTTTCTCTATTGACAAATAATTATGAGGTTCTTTGTAGCTTTATACTAAGAGAGGAAACAGGTAGAAAGCATTTGAAAACTAGATGTTATTTTACTTTTATTATATGAAAATACTTAAAATTATGGTTTTATAATAGCACTCAAAACTAAAGTTGCTTTATTTTGTCATCCTTATTAGAATCCTCTGAAATCTTGAGAGATTTCCTCTTATTATAATTTTGACTAGCAAGCTAAGCTTAATTGCTGAGTTTTTCAACATTAAAATTTATTAAATTCATAAATTATCAAGTTTATAGCTTTTGTGGACATAATTTAACCTTAATAAATCAAACTGTTTGATAATGATTTAAACCATTTCCTTAATTATAATTGCTCCTTATCCCATGCTCCCATAATGTGTGTAGCTCTTGTATAGTTCATACCACAGTCTCTGTGTTACTTTTATTTTTTAAAATATATTTTTAATTATTTCAGAGAGGAAGGGAGAGGGAGAGAGATAAAAGCATCAATGATGAAGAGAATCATTGATTGGCTGCCTCCTGCATTCCCCCTACTGGGGATCAAGCCTGCAACCCGGGCATGTGCCCTTGACCTGAATCGAACCCAGGACCCTTCAGTCTGCAGGCCCATGCTTTATCCACTGAGCCAAACCAGCTTAGGGCACTACTTTTATTTTTTAAAGTTTGTTTTCTTTATTTGATTATGAGTGCCCAGGAATTTAGAATCATGTCTTCTTTCTCTTTGTGTTTTCCGTGTGCTTGGTATTGTGATTTGCAGGCAAATTGATGCTCAATGCATGTTTGTTGGGTTTAGATTGAAACGTGAAACTGTACATGTAGGTAATTACTGTTAGCAGCTTTTCTTCTCACTCACTGTTCCTGTGCATAGTGGGAAATGTGGAGGGGGATTCTCTTGAGTATTTACTGTAACCCACAGTCTTAAGTAGAGCAACAAACACTGAGATTTATTGCTTTGATAAGGCAAAGCCCCAAAGAATTGTGGCATACATGAAAAAAATAACGTGAAACTGTACATGTAGGTAATTACTGTTAGCAGCTTTTCTTCTCACTCACTGTTCCTGTGCATAGTGGGAAATGTGGAGGGGGATTCTCTTGAGTATTTACTGTAACCCACAGTCTTAAGTAGAGCAACAAACACTGAGATTTATTGCTTTGATAAGGCAAAGCCCCAAAGAGTTGTGGCATAGATGAAAAAAATAAATAACCTGAGAGTATGACCTTGTGGCCTTGGCTAGGACACACTCATAACCCCCTTGTACTATCCTTGAAATGCACCATTGGTTGAGTTGCTTAAAACTTGTTGGGCCCCTACTGTGTGCCAAGTGCCAATTCTAGGTACTGGGGATACTGTAATTAAATAAAATGGCACAGAATACCTGCTCTCGTGAAGCTTATATTCTAATGGTGGGAGGCGGTTAGAGAGACAAAGAAGGGAAAGTTAAAAAAGAAATAAACACACACACCCAGTATATTTAGATGGTAAGTGCTAAGAAGAAAGAACAAACCGGTGATGGGGGTGTATTTGTGTTGTGGCTTGGTGTTTTTCAGGAGGGTTACAAGAAGGTGAGAGAGTTAAGCAGCTATGGGGGAGAAGAATGTTTCTAGCAGGGGAAACCCAAGTACAAGGTCCTGAGGCAGCAGGACACATGGAGTGTGTGAGGGAACAGGAGGAACCAATGTAACTACAAAGAAGGAGCAGGGCCACAGGCAAAAGAGTGACTGCATCAGGGCAGCCTGCCAGGCTGTTGTGAGCACTCTGGATCAGATGGAAAGTCAGTGGGCAATTTTGAGCATCTGACTTCTTTTAACAAAATCACTTTAGCTGCTGTATTGAAAACATGGCAAGGGTAGAAGCCCGCAGGCCTGCCAGGAGGTTAATGCAGTGGTCTAGGTGAGAGCTGATAGTGGCTAAGACCAAGGTGGTAGCAGGAGAGGCCGTAAGAAATAGGTGGATTCTGGATATATTTTTAAACTGTCCAACAGGTTTTGGGCCTGAGCAACTGAAGAATACAGTTGTCATTTCCTGAGGTGTAGACAACTTTGAGAGGAGAGGTTTAGAATAGGACCATTGAACATCAAGAGCCAGTTTTGAACAGATGACATTTGAGATCCTGTTAGACATCCAGGTGGAAACGAGTAGGTGGTTTTATATACTGGAATTTAGGGATAAGGCTGGATCTGAAAATTTAAACTTAAGAATCATCAACACATAGATGGTAGTACAGACAAAACTGTGTAAGACCGCCAAGGGAATGAGATGGGTGGAGAAAAGAAAGGGTCCAGGCACTGAATGCTGTTCAGAGGTAGGCGACAAGAGGAGGAATCAGCAAGGACCCCTGGAAAGGGGCAGCCTCTGATATAGAAGGAAACCAGGGACGGGGGGACCTGGCAGCCAAGCGGAGGACATGCACCGAAAAGCTGTCTCAGGTGGTTCTCGGGGTTCATGGAACTCTGCTTAGCGATGACAGCAGTTTTTGTGGAGGGGGAAAAGCTTGGTTAGACTAAGTTCAAGAGAAGATGAAGAAGAAAATTGGAGCTAGCACACGCAGCTCTTTGAAAGACCTTTCGTGTCCGGTACCCTACATATACGATTCTGAATTTTAATACAACAGCCTCTGAGTGTGATACAGACTCTGCTTTTAAGATTCTCGTTGACCAGTTTGTCTACTATTTAGTTGTGGCTCTTAAATCTCTGATCAGAGTTAAACCTGTGCATGTCTGCAACACATGTACCATTTTACCACTTGGTCTCAGGGAGTTCTGGTTGGGATTCCAGACCCAGGGCAGATTGTAATGAAGAAGGAGTGTAAGTCCTGGAAAACTCAGAGGAAAGAGATATGGAAGTGAAATGAAGCTAAATTCAGTCAAGAAGAAACATTTGGCCCATGCTTTCCTCTCACTATCTAAAGTGGTTTGGTTCTAGTTTAGTTCTAGATATTGTCTGTGGGTGGGCAGGGTTTTAAGCAATAGAGACCTGTGTACCTTTGTTGTTGGTAGTGGTCCTGAGCCCTCTCTGATTTCCCAGCGAATCGCCCCTCCTACCCCTTGCCCAGGTTCACTAGCACATGGTCATAGACTTTAATGCTGCCACAACGAACAGTCTATAATCCTGGGTCAGTGTCTGCGTAACAAATATTTATAAAGTGAGTTTAGAGAAGAAGCACCCCTGGTTAGGAGGGAGAACCATATAGAATACAACTTCATTAGCATTGTAAAGCATTAAAGTAATTTCCCATTGTTTCTGCCTGTGACAATAGTCATAATCAGGTATTGATCTGCCTGTTTGCTTTTTTCCTTCAGATTGCAACACCTGCCCGATATACCGTGACTTTGGGGGGAACCTCCTTCACTGTGAAGTATCTGCGTAGTCGTGGCTACATGTCAACACCTCCTCCTGTGAAGGAGTATCTACAGGATAAGATGGAAGAGACAAAGGAGCTTCTCACAGAGAAAATGGAAGAAACGAAGGATAGACTCACTGAAAAATTACAAGAAACCAAAGAAAAGGTTTCTTTTAAAAAAAAAGTGGAATAGGGTGTCTTATATAAGAGGTTATAAACGATCCCTGCGCTTTAACCCTTAAGAGACGAGGGACAGATTCATGCTCCTGAGTATATTTTTGGTTGGTTTCCTAACTCTGCCAATTCTCGGAGGGTTAAAGAACTAAGATAACCTTTTTAACATTAAGTGTCACTAGAAAAATCAGTGTTCTTTGAAAAGAAAAAAATGAACCCAGTATAAGAATTTCACATCAATAGCAGCATTAAGCAGTGTTAATGTCTAAGTCAGACTCTTTTCAAGGTCCTCAGAAGCATACTTGCTTATGTTTTGTTGCAGCTATACTTTAGGCAGACGAGGCAATTGACTTCTTGAATAACTGATGTGGCCCTAGACAGGAAGTTAATGCTAGTGTTCATCTTTATGTTATTCATTGAGGTTTTAACTGTATTCAGCCCTCATTCTCATTATGGAGACAAACTTTTATCATCAAAACTGCCTATGAATAAAAGAATAGTGTTTCTATAAAAAAAAAGTGTTTAACAGTTACATACCAGTTAAAATAATAGACTTTATATGAAGAAAATTGAATAAAAATTGAGTTATACATGTAAATAAGATGTATTGGTTATATGTAAATGAAAAAATTGACCATTTAAAAATGATTTTTACCTGAAACTTGTCATAATCAAATTTTTAAAGGAAATATATATGGCCATAGTACCTTTTCACCTAGAACATAAAACTATGAATTGTTTGTGTCCTTTTCAACTAATTTTTCAGAGAAAAAGTGAAAGTAATTATACCGTAAGTTCATTGTTGAAATCAGATGATCTTAAGCAGCGATTCACGTTTGTGGTTCTCAAGAATATACCGCTTTGGAAGAATGGAAAATGGCACCAGGTTGTCATGGACCTACCCACTCTCCTGCCACTAGCAGGTCTCGTCTCCATAAGCCAGCGCTCTCTCCCAGTGTCTTCTCCCAGAGTTAATGGTGATCTCATTATGGAATAAATTTTAAAATTGTAGCTGCTGCTCTTTCCCTGATATTGAATCCTTGCTTGAGCGTTTTACTTAAAATTTTTTATACTAAAACTATCATTAAATTATCTGCTTGGAATGAAATTCAACCATTGTCAGATATGAAAGTTGTCATGATTGTGTGGGTGTGTTTAAGGGTGTCTGTATCTGTTTTAACTGCCTTTTACTTCATTTCCCTTGAATTGATATTTGGAAGAGGGAATGGCGGCTGCGTAGATTGTCTGTTTAGATTATCAGAGGGACCAGCAGGAACAATCCTGCAAAAATCACCACTATTTGGCAGGTTTTCGTATTTAATATTTAGTTTGGCCAAATTTAGAAAATACTTTAAAGGAAAAAGAATGTTTACATTTGATACATTTAATCATTATATTGGAACACCTCTTAAGTGAATATGCTGTGGTTGGAACTTCTTTTGTGGGTGGGGCAGAGTAGTGAGGGGAGGGCCAGGAGCCGTTGGTGTGCCTGGTGCAGTGCTGATCAGGAGAATGGTTAGTCCTCTCACTCAGAGTGGAATTTGCGATTTCAAATTGACAGCACATTTTCAAATCTAAATATAATTGACATGTTTTAGCCTGTCTGTTAAATAATTCACCTATTTTCAGATATTAAATGCTAAGATATTAACAAATTTCTTGTTTTTTTCTTCTTGTTTTTTTAACCACTTGAGACTTTGCCTTGTGTTTTAATATCTTGCATTATATAGAACTCTTCTAAAATAATTTCCTTTCACTGTGCACATTGCACAGGACATATTTTCCAATGGGGATAAATTGTGGGTTCTTAGAAGGCACTAATAATCCTGAGACTAAAACTTGATTTTCTTGAGTATCCACCTTTTTGCTCAGTCCATTTGTTTTGCTACTACCCAGTTTCATAATTATGTTGCATTTATTCAGTTATAGAAAGTGAGATGCTGATGAGTGCTTTGAAATTCTCTAGTAAAAAATTCTCTGAATTCCTCACCAGTTTCTGCTGGCCAAAATCCAACCACCCAGACTTCAAAGGAATATATATTTGAATGTGAAAGGTAAAACGTTGAGATATTTATAATTTTAACTGTATTAGGGATGTTTGAACTAGTTTCAAAATGAGGTTTTATTTATTGAATATACATCAGAACAAGTGGTCCCTGTATCACTTCGTACCAGTGTGGTCTGCTTAGTTAAAACCAGTTCTTGCATCCCTTAATTTTTTATGACGGTTGTTATTTTTGTAGTTATTATTTGGGTTCCTAGTGTTTTCTTTTTCTTTGCAACTCTCCACACTAAAACTCACAACATTCTGGAGAGGCCATGACGTAACTCTACACAGTAGTGTGGTGTAGCAGGAATCTCCCGGCGGTGCACTGGGGCTGTGGCTCACAATGATCACTATTGATTTAAAGCTTTATTTAGCCTTCATCTGTACCCTCATAATCAATAATGTCTTGCCACATCTTATTAGGTTGAGAAATGTATTATTTGTTGTTCTGCTGCCCTTCCCCCCAATATTAAACTGAAATTTGTGATTTGTTTAAACTCTGAGTGAATCATAGCTTAGTTTGCATGTCCAGCTAATTTGTTTCTTATACATTTTGTTTGATTCTCCTCTTAGCTTTTAATGTGTGTGTGTGTGTGTGTGTGTGTGTGTATGGATCTTCTGAAAAGTTTTTTGACGTACAAGTTTTTCTCTTTGATTTGTGGACACAATGCTGAGGTTCAATAACTACATGAAACTACTGGCTGTGAAAACAAAACAAAAAATCCAAAGGGCTGTTTTTCCAAGTGCCCCCTCCCTCCCCACCCAGGGAAGCTATGTGACAGTGAGATGCCAGCTTCAGAAAGATTCGTCTTACCTTCAACCCTCTGTTCATCTCTTTCGTCTCTTCTCTTTTCTTCAAGAAAGAAGTTGATCCTAGTGATTTCAGCCCATGCATTAAACAGGAAAAAATAATATATGTATAGAATTCATATTTTTCTAAAGGGAACTTAAAAACTACTTCTACATGTTTGTACAAAACTGGTTTATACCACATGAACAGAATCACAAGATTAGCTTTGGTACTTTGTTCCTCTTTGTATTCAGTTGTATAGAACTTCCAAATTCAAAATGAGAAGAAAAGCTGTTCTGTAGCAAACCATGTAAACAATAAATATATTTTTAAAACACCCCCAAAAAATCTGTAAAGATGGGAGAAGTTCTTTTGACATTTAGCATCAGACATATTTGTATCATATCAAATGCTGTTGCTAGCATATTGCTAACCTTAGGTAAACTACAAGTAGCTTAAACGGGGACACCTGTAATATGCTGTATGAAGTTAAATAAATGGTTAAGCTATATAGAAAGTAAATATATATAGTTTGCAATATATATCATAAACCCCATTTCATTTATAATAAACCTTACTCTTTGGATTAATTGGCCCATAAATTCTGGGAGCTCCAAGGCAGAGCAGCTCCCCATCTAGTCTGCATGTGTATAAGTAGGATGTGTTGACAGGTCAAGAGGCTATGACTGAGATTTAACTTTATATAAAGTGGATGAAAAGGGTTTGCTCAGCAAATTAACAACTGAAATGAAAAAGATTAGGTAAGAGATGTAGTTTATTCAAGGATAATAGCAAAGCCGAACTTTTAAAAGTACCAAAAAATGTCTCTTACTGAAATCTTTTGTGTACAAGTGCTGTTTTCAGACCTCAAGAAGGGAGAAAAGGAATGCATATACTGAGATTACCTTCCAGTAGTGAAAATAATAAAATTATGCCTTCAAATGTAGTCTTCAATTTATTTTTTACAAAATCTCCCTCCATTTATTTACAAATGAAAAATATTACTACTAGTATAGTCCTGTGTGCTCCAGGATGAAATGAGCTATTGGCTGACTTATTTCAGTGATCTGAGAAGATAATTTCAGGAATTTAAAAGATCTTCATAGTTTGGACAGAAGTGTTTGAAGAAAAGAAGCAAGTTGTATATTAGACCCATGTAGCTTTTTCCTGTGTTCTTTCCATAGGATCAGGCCATCTTTAGGACAGTGTACACAGGCCACTGTAGAATATGATGATGCTAATGAAATGGACAGGAGGGGATTTTGGCAATAAGACAGAATATGTGTGCACCTTTCATAGCATGTTTGAAATGATACCATTTTTACAAAATGTATATGTGAGATACACATTTCTGAATTATTAAAGGATTCTTTCAGAAAAATACTTGTTTTAATAGTAATGTAGACATATATCTTCTGTTGGCTACAGTTCATGTTTTTTTTTAAATGGGGACCTTCATTTAATTAAGATTTTCAAAATTGTGTCTCCACAAGGCCTAAAATAAAGTAGATTAAATGTTACCAAAGTTGGTTGGAAGTATTTTTCAGTATTAAAAGCTTACTACTTGACTTTATCTGTGTCACGGTCGACAATGCATTGGATTATATTGGCCTACGTGCCCAAGTACCATAGGAGGATTCATGTAGAAAAGTGTGGGTCTCGCTGCCACCTTTGAATTTAACCGTCTGAACCAGAAAGCTATAGAACCAGAGGTAGGTACTTTTAATTATTCATTTTGCAGTATTAACTTGGTTCAGTTTCTATTGGTCCATCTGTATGTTATGTAGTACCAAGTTAGTATTAAATGGGATCCCAAAAAATTCTACATCATGCACCTGAACAGACTCAAGACTTCATTCTTTCCTTAGAGATTTGAATGGTCTGGGACAGCAGTCGCCAACCAGTGGTCTGCGGACCACTGCTGCTCCGTGGGGTCCAAAAGGTTGGCAACCGCTGGTTTAAGGAAACCTTTGGAGCAGCGGTTGCCAACCAACCGGCGGACCACTGATGGTCCGTGAGGTCTGAAAGGTTGGCGGCCACTGGTCTAGGACACCTACTCCTTCCCAGAGTTCATTATCAGCCATGCGTTTTGCCCTGGCCCTCTGATGCTTGGAAGATCTTTCTCCTGCACATTGAGCTTGTAGGTTATATTTGAGAAGTGCTATGTCAGGCCAATTGGATATATTTTTCCCTCTGTGAGATTTTCCCTTTGTGACTTCTGTGTCAAATTGGCTTATTATAACTAGACGAAACAAGTTTTTGATTGTCTTGCTTCTTCAGGGTTAGGCTTTGAAAATCAAGCTGTATTCTTCCCTATGCATCATTGGCAGTCACCAACAATAATGACAGCTCATGGTTGTCTTGTGACAGTTATCTGCCTATTTTTATAAAAAACAATCTTAGTATGAAGAATGCATCTTGATTTCAGAATCCTTTAGGGCAGAGCAGAACAGTAAGCCTCTTTATTCTGGACACTTGAGTAGGACAGTCATCGTGGGGAGGCACACAGGCTGTAGTTTCTCTTTACAGAGAAGAGTGCTTGTGGAGAATAAGATGAAATAGAAGACACTTTCACATTGTGTTTTCTCTGGGACAACCTGGTCCATAAGAGCAGAAGTCCTAGGATGGTCAAGAGATGTTCCACATGCTGCCAAAATCAAAATATGTTTTTTTAATAAAATATATTCTTACTGATTTCAGAGAGGGAGAGAGTAACATCAGTGATGAGAGAGAGTCATTGATGGGCTGATTCCTGCACACCCCCTAATGGGGATTGAGCCTGCTGCAACCCAGGCATGTGCCCTTGACTGAAATTCAACCCAGGACCCTTCAGTCCACAGGCCAACGAACGCTCTATCCACTGAGCCAAATGGGCTAGGGCTCAAAATGTATCTTCATTCTGTGTGAAAGTGAGGATTGCATAGAACCTTTTTTCTTTCCTTTTTGACCAATTTAAATGTTAAAAACTCTATTTGAAGTGAGACAGAAGAAGGCAAGTTTGCACATGAGCAGGCCTGACTGGTGGCACGCCAGTTCTTTCTCTCTGCCTCTAGTGGATAGATCCACGCACCCCATTCCTCGCTAAGAGTGGGACAGTAAACCTGCAGTTGTTCCTGACTTTTTAGTTAAGTACAGGTGAAAGTTAGCCCTTTGTTATGATAATTACATAAAGTTTAAGCATGACATGAAATAATGTCGGTTCTTTATCTTTCCTTATACCAATTAGACTCCTTAAAACTGGAATTAAAAACAAAACAAAACAGCATTTTCT